CTAGTCTACCATAGATATTCCTAATTTCTATATGCTGTTAATGAAAAATAGTACTTCAGCTGTTTCGTAACCTGTCATGTGCATTTTATTGACCTGTTCGATGGCTATTCCAAACCATAAGGAATTTGCTATCACAAGTAAAATGTAACGCTATTCTCGGACAGATAAAACCTAATTTCTATCTGTTATTAACGAAAAATGTACTTTAGCGGTTTCCTAAACTGTCATGTGCATTCTGACAAAGATATTCCAAGGTTATCACAAACCAAATAAAATTGGCATCGCAGGCAAAATATAACGCTAACCATGCATAAAATGCCTATACTTTATCTGGTGATAAGAAAAATATATACATTGACGGTTTTTCTAACCTGACATGTTCATACTTACACACCTGTTCCACGGTTATCACAAACCACGTGAAATTTGCTGTCACAAGCAAAATGTAACGCGAGTTTCGCATAGATTTAGCTAATATCTGTCGTTCATCAATGAAAAATGGTACTTCTTCTTCTTCCTAACTTCTCATGTACATCCTTACAATACTGTTCCATAGTTATCACAAACCAGATGGAATTTGCTATCAAAAGCAAAATGCACCGCTAGTCTATCATAGATGTACTCAATTTGTATCTGTTATAAATGAAAAATGCTATATTGCTACATTGCTATTATAAACTAGATGGGATTTGCTATCTCAAACAAAATGTAACGCTAGCCTCGCATATATGAACCTAATCTCTATTTGTTATTAATGAAAAATGGTACTTCGGAAATTTCCTAAACTGTCTTGTGCATTCTTATTATGCTGTTCCAGGGTTATCACAAACCAGATGGAATTTGCCATCACAAGCAAAATGTAACGTTAACTTCACATAACGTACCTAATCTGTATCTGGTAATAAGGAAAAAGTATATCTTAACAAATTCCTAGCCTGCCATGTTCAAACGTACAGTCCTGTTCTATGGTTATCACAAACCAAATGAAATTTGCTATCAAAGAGAAAATATTCTTGACCATATCTTGTTGCTACGTTGTCCCAAACGCTTTCAGTGTTGTTATTTGTGCAACGAAATTCAGTATTGAGTCATTTTTACAAACAACTTCATTCGTCCTTGGTGTGGACTATCACAACCTAGGACCATGTTGCTATCCCAAGCAACCGAGTCCATTGTTACAACGTTATCCCAGATGTATTCGTTCATCCTTGGTGTGGAGCTGACTATCCTAAGCCAGGTCCACGTTGCTATCCCAAGCAACCGAGTCTAATACTTCCACGTTATCCCAAACGTCTTCGTTCGTCCTTGGTGTGGAGCTGACTATCCCAAGCCGGGTCCACGTTGCTATCCCAAACAACCGAGTCCAATGTCTTTGTTCGTCCTAGGTATGAAGTTGGCTATCACAAGCTAGGCCCAGGTTGCTATCCCAAGCAACAGTGTCAGAACGTTATCCCAAACGTCATGCTAGGCACAATTTGCAGCGCCGGTGAGGCATCCATACTAATATTCATTTAACACCTAAAACAGATCGTTTAGTTGACAGTTACCTTATAGTGATGCCCCTTCAGAAAAAGAGGTCTGCACGTCACTTTCTAATTTTGGTCTGCGACCTAATTCTAAATGTTCAACGGATCCTCGACACTGCACTGCACGTAAACGAGCCACGCCGATTAACGTCTTGACGGTCGGGCACGAGAACAAGGAATGAAGGTTTATTGGCGACCAGATGGGAAAAAGGTAGGGGGAAGGGGCGCGGTGCCGCTTTACTTCTCTGTGTGCGCGCTTTGAAATCATGGCGGTTGGGTACTACTACGAGGGTACTACGATATGTATTCTAAATATTTACTTCGACGAGGCCGGAACATGACTAGAATGATAGGACTTAGTTTATAGGTATACCGAATGCGGATACGTATTATTTGTTGTTATGTATGATCGTTTCTTACAATATTATTCAGAAAAATAATAGTGTGTAGTGTTAAATTAATCGTAAGAAAATGGTCTCTTAGTGAAAGCCGACGAGCCACCCCCTTTCTAGTTGAAAAAATTGAGTAAACTGGAAAAACCAGTGTTTGTAACTTTTAGAAAATCTCTCGACTCAAAATCGTATTTTTCCCGTGTTACTTGATCAAAACTGAAGCGATTGGCACTCTAGATCGAAAAATAAAAATTGAAATAGAAATACCTTCATTTGTTAAATATTGACAAATGAGGCATTGTTGAGTTAAGAATGTCATTCTCGATCGAAATCAGTAAAAATGTATAGGGAGTCCCAATTATAAGTCGATAGTTCGAGTCGTTTTCGTTCAATTCGAAAGTACGTCAAATCAAGTGAATATGTCAAAAATGTATATTTATCTATAATACGCAACACCCAAATTTCTTTTTCTATCTTAAATAATAAAAAAGTGTAAGCCACCTTGGAGAATCACCCGGTATGTTTTCTATTTTACAACATATTCAATAATGTTGGGACTCTCTGTTCATATTGCCCGCGGGGCACGGTTATTTAGTTACGGGATGAACTGTGCAAATATTCTGCCACATACTACCTCATACCTTACAATTAGACTTCCGTAATCTCTATTTACAATCATCAATGTTCCTATCCTTAAAGTGTTTATGAAGCACCTTTTCTATAATAGCTAAACGCGGTTTTGTCTTTGTTTCTATTTACGCCGTGTGTCAAGACAGCCATTTCCGCGTTGGCCGTCTTTGTGGAAATACCACGACTGTCCCAAGACATTCAGTTCGCAGTACAAATATTTTACGCACTCTGTGGGACCTGCCGATGTCTGTACCGACTTAGCCTCTCAATTAAGTTAAAGTACTGTCTACAGCATACCCGTCTGTCGCAGATCGGTTGGTGAAGAGAATGTTGATGAACAGTAATTGATTCCGCAGAAAGTATGTACTCATATAGTACGAGGGTTGTCTCTAAAATAAGTTGCCGCGCGAGATGCTAGACGAAATCTGGCAACACCGTCGTGTTTGTCGAGTCCCCCTCCACCGATCCCAACAAGACGCACAGTACACGCCTGACAGCCATGCGCAAAGGGGCCCTTTATTGCCGATTAAGAGAGTTCTTTGACGGCCGCATGGACATCCACGATGAACAACGGTGTGGAAGGCCGTTAATCTCCAAGGAGGTTATGGCGAAAATTAAGAAAATCTTGCTCGAAGATCGACGAATCACAGTCCGTGATCAGGCTGTTGAAATTCCTGAAGCTTCTGAAAAAGCTGAGACGGGCAAAGCGTAAGACTCCATCACGATAATGCGCATCCTCATGTCTCACAACAACGAAGGACTAAATCGAGCGTTTTGGCTGGAAAGTCATTGCCCATCGCCCTTACAGACCCGACAGCGTTTCCAAAATTGAAGGAGCATCTAGGCCAGAGTTGCCCAAACTTTTTTGTGTCGTAGACCCCTTGCCATATTTTTTCCGTGTTGGCCCCCTACTTACCTGATATTGATTTCCTGTAAATTTCTAACTGTAGTGAAGTTTAGTGTTAAAAACTTAAAGTAAAAACACATGTTAATTTATACATTTATTAATTGAGTTTAAATTAAAACTACTCAAAATAAAATTTTGTATCTGTTATGTAAAATATACGTAACATTAAATAAACAGGTGTCTGACCAATAAGTGCCCGCATTGGGAATAAGTGCCGGCATAGAAAAAAAATAAGAGGGATAAAATAAAAAAAATTTGATAAAAATGTGGATCTTCCTCCAACTTTGCCAGCGCCCATTCACCAAATTGGAAACGTTGTGGGAGGTCGTGTGGCTTCAATTCTTGCACCAGCTGTATCTTATAAGGTTTTACACTCAAATCCTTCGCCAAATTTTCCACGTAGTGGAGTAACAGAGGCCCAATTGCTGCGAACGGCGGCGAATCGGCATTTCACGGTCATCACTAACACTGGCGGATACAGCCCCAATATTTTCTTCAGTCCTCACTCTACGTCTGCTTGTTGGTGGTTTAATGTCCAATAATGTAAACTGGGTTCGAAATTTAGTCACAAGCTCCCTCAGTAGGCCGACCAAATTGCCCATAAATTGGAAGCAGTGTTCGATGCACTCTCTTAACCGAGCATAATTTGCAAGCGTTGTTCGTTCGTAAGTCGATTCATGGTTAAATTATAGACCAAACTGAACAAGTTTGACAATGACACAAGACACGATTCACGCGTCATCTGTCAAAAACAGTGTTGCCAAAAAGATACTATCAAAAAAATCACCCATTACAAAACTGGGATTAGTTCCAAAACTATACGTAGGAAAAAAAAATATTTTTATTGTTGCCAATTTAGGTGACCACGACCCGGAAATGTCTCATGCAGTAATTGAATCGTTGCACTGGGTGTATGGCATGTAGCTTTATCTTGTTGAAACCACATATTGGACACATCCATAGCATCCTATTTCGGCAGAAAGAACTGTGTTATCGTGTCGCGATATCGAGCACCAGTAACAGCTAGTGCTTCACCAGCCTCATTTTCAAAAATGTATGGTCCAATGATGCCTCCAGACCAAAATCCGCGTCAAACAGTTGTGGGTACATTTGTTTTTCGACAATCACACGTGAGTTCTCCGGAACCCAAATACTACAATTTTGACGATTAACATAGCCATCAAGGTGAACATTTGTTTCATCGCTTAGGATGAAATGGCGGCAAATTCCAATCTTGCGTTAATTATGCGTCATCCTTTGCAAAACTCCTAACAATATTTCGACTCATTTTTTTTTATTTGCTGACCTGTGTATATTAAAAGATATCATCAAAGACGACGTCATTTTTACAATATGATGCGGCGGCGCTAGCACCAAGGGTACAAGGTGTCGAAATGAAAGTTTCTAGAGAGTATATCGAAAATTAAAATACCAAGTTTACACACTTTTTAGAGCTTTCCGTATAAAACGCCTAAGCTAGTGGACTTATGCACAGATGGTCATGCAGCAACTTGAGGGATAATTTATACAATTTTTTTTTTTCAGTGCTTTGGGATGGAGGCTAGGTCTTCAAGTAGTAACTGGTGCTGTATCAGTCACCTTCATCTTGGGCACATTTTATCGTTCAGCATCCCTGTATCATCCACAGCGGAGGGCTATTCTGCATATAAAGAATCAGAAAAGGAAAATCAAGGATAAAAGTAAGGTTAGTAAACTATTGAGTCTTAACCGAGCTCATCTCTCTGAAAACAGTAATATCACTAGAGAACGTCCTGTGTTTGTCCAACACACTCCTGGAGCTAGATATGTTTCTGGCAGACAATGATTGTGATATTTTCTGCGCTACCGGAACATCGGAATCATGAAGAGCGGCTTTATTCTTTTCACCTGGATTATTATAAAATGTCTGAAGAAGAGATTGTAAAAACGGAGGAGCTGCTATTTTTTCTAAAAATTGTATCCATTCCAGAACCGCTTTCCAGTGCCTCATTTGTGTTACTCGGAGTAACTCGGAACTGCCCACCAGCTATCAATACCGTTCCAGTGCTCTAGAGCAGGAGTTCCCAACCAGGGGGGGCGTGTCTCCTAAACAAACGACATTAAAACAAACTAACGTCCAACAGTGGCGTACCATGTAGATATAGTACTTATCCGAATTTGAAAAATAGTATCATTTTTTGTTAAATGCTATGTGAATTTCACATTGAATCCTGTTAGAGACTTAACCAAGTCTAACATTTCAGGTTGAAGACAAAATACCTTTCTTCGACTTCAGTACCCTGAAAAGCAAGACGGTAAGGATTCTACTGATTTCTACAGGAATCAGCGCATTTGGAATCAATACACCGCTATTCTACTTAGCTTACCAAGCAGAAGTAGAAGGATTAGGTGATGCTACAATATTCTTACAGGTAAAATTGATTTCCGCTTGAATAAAATTAACTTAAGATATTTGGCGGGTCACGGGTAAACTACATAAATTAATTTCGTACGTCCATCTCCTTCACAAATACACTGAGAAACAAATCTAATTAAACCAATTATAATTTTTATTATGCCAAAAAAATGGAATCAACCACATGACAGCTTTACATGAATCGATGAAACTAGTTCAACTAAACCAAAATGAATCGTTTATTTAAATTTATTAAACCGTTTACTTAGGTTGATGACACCAATTTATTTAAAATTAATGAACCATTAAAATGAGTTTAGCTGCTCCAACTAAAACAATTTAATTATACAGGGTGACTTTGAAGTTGAGTCATTAATTTTCAGATAGTGATTGTAGAAGGAAGATAAACCAAAATATGTGTGTAAAAATAAAAAAAAAATAAAAAAAAAATTTACCTTGTTTTATAAAGTATCCTCCCGACGAGTATTTCAGTGCGGACCTGTATTTGATCGTGCGGTCTTGGAGCACCGGCATGCCCTCCCCTGGCACGAGGGGTTGGTTGCACTCGATTGGGAAACCGATTTTGTAAAGACTCCCCCCCCCCGTACCCCCGTAAATAAGAATCATGTCCACAAGTTCAGCTTTTCCGTAAACATGTGCCATTTTTTATTTCGTTTGAGCCACGCAACAAATACCACTATTCACTCACGCGTTACCGACTGAATACAACTAAAAACATAGTGATAAGCGTTTCAAATTCTTTCGCTTTTTTGTTTCCGATGCGATGAACCGATGCGGATTATATCCGTTGTTGCCAAACACGAGCACATAATATTATTATTGAGACAGGGCGGTACTCAAACTTCTAAAAGGCTATAACTTTGTTACTTTAATTTTACCAGAAAAATGTTAAAGGAAAAAAACATTTCTTTTGATAAGATCTACTCACTGTTAAAATAAATGAGTCAACTTCGAAGTCACCCTGTATATAAAGCATCGTCTACTAATAGCCAAGTGTAAATATTTTTGTTTTCCTGATTCTTCCGCAAATATGATTGAGCTTCTTAGGAAATCGATATCAAAGGCAAGGTTCTATCTCCAAAGTGCCTCATTTCCTCCGGAGTGCCCCAAGGGTCTGTACTTGAGCCACTCCTATTCATTTTGCACATTTCTGATCTGTTAGCTGTAGCTGTTAAATATTATTATATCCAATTATTTGCCGACGATGCACAGATCTACTGTCATTTCCATAATCACATCATTTAAAGTGCTGAATCTGAGGTAAATGAATATATAAAATCTATATCATAACCTTCAGCTGAACCCTTTAAAGTCAAAAGTCATTAGTTTTTCACCAGAACTGTTTAGAAGAAATTTTAACGTAAAATTACATGTCAGCGAAAAACTTTGGTGTAACTTTGGGTGAATACCTAAATTTTATACCACATGTAAATAATATTAGTAAGCGTTGTTTTTCATATTACGTCAATAATCTTAAACAATTTCTTGACTATACAACTAGAAAAAAACTTTGTGAATCTGTGAATCTTCGGTGATGTCGAAAATTATATATTGCGATTCAGTTTATCATCCATTTCTTGACTCAATGTCTCTCACACGTCTAATCAGTTTAGGTAAAACTGTTTGCCTAGTTTTAATGAATTATTCCATTTAGGTTTAAAAGAATATTTGTATAATATTTGGAATTTAAAAAAAACAAGTTGCATTTTACTGAATGAATTATAACTATATATGCAGTCGGTCTCTTTTCGTGTTAATTTGTTTGCGTAAATAATGACATACGTTTTTTAGTTTGATCTCACTGCCATGAAGATTTTCTCATCAACGTCTGAGTTGCACACTTATACTGGTCTTTCAGTTTGAAAATTTACTTGTCATGGGCGTATGATTTGCGTTTCCCCAAATTGATCTTCTATATAAGACATAGTAGTGCCTAAGGATACAAATGCAATTTCGATAGTAGTTATATATTAAAAGTGTGTGGAAACAACGGTCTTGTATCACCCAATTCATGTGTGTGTGTGTGCAAGAGCGATTAGCAGCTTTTCTTACACCGAAGCAGCCGCGCAGGCAGAAGCCGAAATGCCAGGACACCGCGGCTACTATGAGGATCCCAAAGAAATTTTGTTAATCCGATTTTTGAGCTGCCTAAGGTTACCAGAACCGGGAAAAGATTACATGTTTATAGGACGTTATTCTATTAATCATATTTTGAGTAACATTAAACTTATAACATTCACGATTTACACTTAATAATAAAAGTGAATTTACTGTATCACTGTACAAGCGATTTCGGACATCTGTTTTGATTAAATTTACTTTTGAAAACATTCTTTCGCATGCGGCATTTGAATGAGGAATTACTAATAAATCTAATACAAAATTTCCCAATTCTTTAAACACGTAAACATCAGACATTTCGTGAATTTGGGAGATTTTGTACCAGTATTTATCGATTGATGTTTCATCCTTTATTTCATCACTGAAATTTGGTTCTGACTGGCAATACATTCGCCACTGATCATCAATTTTTTGTATTTGTTCAATATCTTGAGGATCTACAATTCTGGGTAGTAACTTAATTCATGGAAAAAGCGATGCTGGTTTTGGTTTAGAATACCCTTTTTCAAATACTGATATTTTTGACAAAATATTTTCATTAAAATCAAACCGTTTTTTCATTTCATTTGCAGAAGTTATTAAAAATTGACGGCACTGCATGTATTTAGAAATCTTCTTTTTTTTTGACTTAATTTATCAATGTTCTGAAGTACGCGAACACCAAGGTATATCTGTTTCAAGTCAATGAACTGACTAGCATTGTTGGGATCGATTTTATCTATTTCGGTTTTATGAATATAATTTGGTTGTAAATAGCTTAAACAAATTTCTTTATAGGTTTCACAAACTACATCATAAACGTGCGCAATTATGACACGCTCACTTTGAAAGTATTCATTTAATTTTACAAATTTTGGTAAAATCCAATGAAGAAAAAAGAAAAAAGTTTTGTTTCCATATCATTAAGTCTATTGGCAACAACTTCTGAAGCTTGCAGTCTATGTTCGGTCCATTCTTTAACAAAATATAATTGAAGGGGATTCCATTGCTCAATTATCCTTTCCACTACCATAAGTAATGAAAGCCACCTAGTTTGTAAAGGACGTAAAATTTTGTTAGGCTCCACATTACAAAATGTCTGAAATTCTGTAAATTGTGCTTGCCGTTTGGAGCTATTTTTAAAGTAACCAAAAATATTCCTGGCTAAATCTTCACAAAGACGGGGCAAAACTTTACAAGCCTCACTGGCACAAAGATGTAAAGAGTGGCAGATGCATTTTTGAACTATAATGCCAGGAAGATTTAGTTTTAACCTACTTACTACTGAGTTATTGGCACCAAACATAGTGTTACAACCATCAGAACCAAATCCTATAATATTTTGGAAAGGTATATTGTTAGACTCAAATAAATACATAATTTTTTTATAAAGAACTTCTGCAGTCGCCCCTGTATTTGCTTCATCTGGATTTTGATTTGAAAAACATTGAACCAAATTTAAAAATTTTGTAGTTACCTCATTTGTTTTTTCACTAAAGTATCTAACACATACACATATATTTTTTACTACACCTATGTCTGTAGATTCATCTACTAAAATGCTAAACTTTTTTGCTTTTAGTTCATCGATTAGTTCTTCAAAATGAGATTTGGCTAAAACATGTTTTATAACACCTGTTGCTTTGGTTCTTCCCATCTGCATTCCTTGGGCAATTTTCGAGTCAGGAAATATGTCTTTTAATAAAGGAATCAGATGATCACACAGCTTGATGGGTAGATTATGCTCTGATATTAATGCAGCAATTTTTATTTCTGCCCTACTCACTTGACCACTAGCTTCGTTTTTATTAGAAAACATAGTAGAAATTTTTGGTTGATTTTTCACAATCACCTTTACATTTTTTAAATGTTTAGCTCCCTTACTGTGATTTTTCAATACAGTTAAATCTGCTTGAATTTCACTATCACAAGCCATTTTGCTCGAGTTGGTTTTTCTAAAAACAAAAATGCATATCATTAAAAGTATAAAATGGTTTTATGTTATTTTTTCTACCTTTAACAGCTTTCAACCATCCTTTGAAATGAGGATTGCTTTCCCATTCACATCTATATTTTTGTGGTCTATTTTCTCGTCTGTTTACGTTTTTAAACTTTAATCTTTCCGAAGAATCGGAGTAATCATGATGATCCCCTTTGCTGGTACTGGCCATTTTATTTCACTATTTGATCACATCAACACACATTAATAAGGACTCATTCAATCAACTACTCTTGTTCGTATTGAAAAAGAAACAATGAGTATTAGGGTATTCCCCTGCGTAGGCTCAAATTCACCGAGACTCGAATTCCGTAATATTTACATAGATGGCGGTAGGCTTGATTTTTATTCTAATTCCATAATAACCATGCTATTAACTGAAAGAGGTGAGCACTAATAGTTATTATCCTTTTTGTTACGTTGCTTTGGTTGCATACAATTAGAACTAATCATTTTGAAAACATAGTTAGGCTGGGAGATGGAAAAATAATATGTTACAATTATCGATTATGTTACATCTTTTTATTTACTGTATATTTCAGTAGAAAATATGGTACAATTTGATAATTATGTTACAAGTGGCAACACTGGGACGCGTGGTCAGCAAGGGAGCCATCGGGCTACTGGCATGTGGCGAGACGCGGGGTAAAAAGAAGGGCTCGTCACCAGATGAGTCAGTCCTTGAGTAATAGCGAACGCTTAAACTGCACAACCTGCTGCATAGGTCTTGTTAGTATAACTGGGATAAGCTTCCTCTTGTAGATTGTTCCACAATCTCGACACCCTCAGGATAAAGTAGCGGTCGTATCGGCCACATAATGTCCTTCCGGTTTGATTCCAAAGAAACAACTCTGGAGCAGGAAAGACTGCTGCGGACAAAAGCCACAACTCCTCCGTTCTTTCTCGGATAGGAGTGCACCTTGTAGTTTGGGAAATTGGTAAATGGTTAATCGGTGCAGACTCTGAAATTTTTGTCACCGCCAAGACAAGCATGGCGGGATAACTGGATTGCAGGCTGCTGAACAGCATCACTGTTGCTGTTAATCCCAGATGTTCGTGAAACAAATGTTATCATCGGTGTTGTTCCCAGGAGTCCGCCCTCCACCCGGACATTCCGAGAGTGGAGTGAGTTTACGTCCGGAATTCTTAGTACTCGAGGGATGCATCATCATTCATTTATTTGTTGGGGAAGATAGCCGACTGCATAGCTTAGGTGTGGAGACGTGCAGACATTTATAAGACACCCTGGGAAAAGCTAGCCGGTGGTACCGCTTCGCTCGACTGCTCCTTGTCTACCACCTTCTTTTTGCATGTTGATGATGTTGAATAGACCAAAAGTGGCCCGCTGATTGTTTCCTTTTTCTGAGAACTGTAATATTTTAAGCTTTTCTCTTTTAGTGGTCAATGTTGTGAATTGTGCCATTTAAATTTCGGTACTTTTTTTTCTTTATACCCGTAGTAGCTTGTCAATAAGTATTTGTCTCTCGGTCGGGTTGAAAAACAGCGTAAGCTGACACTCCACCTTTTCGACACTATTTTGTTTTCTTCCTATTAAGTGTATTATTTTGTAATGCTGTGACGAATAAATGTCATTTATTATTACGTTTAAGTTTATCTAAACTTAATTTGTTTGTTCCAGATGTACTTGGGTTTAGCCTGGACGGTAGGCTGCGTGGTGTTTAGTACCTTAGTGCTCCACAACTCGACAGAGTGTCGGATTGCTAGGCAGTACCTCTGCCAAACAGCAGTATTTATGTGTGGACTATCCATACTTGCATTTACCGTAGTGAGTGGGAACTATCAGGCCTATGTTATGTTCGCCTGGATATATGGTAAGAAAATAATCAATGTGAGAATAGACAAAGCATTTTAATTCGAATTTATTCATAGTTGTGACTTCTTTTATTTGTCAGGTATATTTTGTGGAGGTTATCATTACTCGCTGAAGATGTATACTTACGAGAGAGTAAGGGCAAGAAACTTCGCAAGGACGTGGGGTTTTGTACAGTGTTCTCAAGCAATACCTATAGTAATAGGAGTGCCATTTTCAGGTGAGACAACAAACATTAAGCATTAAAAATATTGTTTCCTTATGATTTATAAAGAAAAACGTGCCAATATTTCTAGGTTAGATAGTACATCCAAAAAGTAACAAAAAAAGTGAATCTAAATATATGTCCAAAGATTCTCCTCTACCGAGATACAGGGTTACGGAGTTTTATTTACAAAATTGAATATATATATATAACTTGAGACGTGGACATTGTCGTCTAGACCAGTTAGGTGAAAAATTAAAGCTTCCGCCTTTTGTTGGGTACTTCGACAAAATTTAAGCAAAGAGGACTCTTTATACTTTTTTTTTAATTCTCTCTAGCTTTCAATGGACTTTGCCATCATCATCAGGAGCTGCAATTACAATGATAACAGTAGCAACAATAGTATAAAATGAATTTAGATTGACTTAACTTACAGTAGTATGTGAGGATGTTGCTAATTGTTGTTTACGTATAGAATGAGGGAAACGTCCAGTAACATGGTGAAAGCTGGATAGATGGCACAATGGTCAAAATTATATAAAATATGACAAGAACAAGTTAAAAACAGATTAAAATTTTTTTAAAAACATGAAAGCATTACATCGTGAAGCCACTTGATGATTGCACAAAATGGTGGTCATGGAATAATGAGTGAGATGAACCCTTTGACAGAAGGCCGAAGGTTGTCAATGTCTGTGTAGAAAGATGGAACGAATTGTGGGCGTGTGCCAACGTTGCCAAATCACTTCAGATGATCTGATTTTCAGAATATTATGTAAGAAATTGTTAAATCGACCAGAGGCAGTTGAATCAACTATATTTTAATTAATGGGAAATTAAATTAACAATTATTATTAAATCGTGAGAAGAAAATTATTAGAATTTGAGTGGAATTAAGTTTATTGGTGGAATCGACCAAGAAACAGATTCCTTTTATGGTTGTGAAGAGTCAAAATTTGGGGAGATATGTAAGTTCTCCAATTTTTCGCAGTTTAGCAAATATGAGTAAATGACACTCAGTTGCTTAACATCTGTCTTTTTATTGATACAGTTGTTATTCATGAAAATGTGGGACATTTCCAGGAATAAACGTTTGGAAAGGTGTTTTTCTTTATCAAGAACTTTGATACTTGTGTAATTCATAGAGTGCCCTGTTGTGTTAACATGAGATGCTAGAGCGCAGGACAGCTAAACCAGGCTTTATCAAGGAACTGACCCCTAAGCTGTTCAGATTGTGCAGTCCTTTGAACTTTCGAATTGCTTGCAAATCCGTCCTCACTATAAACTGCATTTTTTCAAAAATGAAAGACAGAGTCCCGCTGCTTGGCTTAACCAACACAGTCTACTCCATCAATTGCAATAACTGCAACCAAATATCCATAGGTCAGACCTCCAGATCTCTCAAAGGAAGGATTACATCACACAAAAGTGATTCTAGGCTTCATCCTGAAAGATGCGCTCTAGCATCTCATGTTAACACAACAGGGCACTCTATGAATTACACAAGTATCAAAGTTCTTGATAAAGAAAAACACCTTTCCAGACGTTTATTCCTGGAAATGTCCCACATTTTCATGAATAACAACAGTATCAACAAAAAGGCAGATGTTAAGCAACTGAGTGTCATTTACTCATATTTGCTAAACTGCGAAACATTGGAGAACTTACATACCTCCCCAAATTTTGACTCTTCACAACCATAAATGGAATCTGTTTCTTGGTCGATTCCACCAATAAACTTCATTCCACTCAAATTCTAATAATTTTCTTCTCACGATTTAATAATAATTGTTAATTTAATTTCCCATTAATTAAAATATAGTTAATTCAACTGCTTCTGCTCGGTTTAACAATTTCTTACATAACATTCTGAAAATCAGATCATCTGAAGTGATTTGGCAACATTGGCACACGTCCACAATTCGTTCCATCTTTCGACACAGACATTGACAACCTTCGGCCTTCTGTCAAAGGGTTCATCTCACTCATTATTCCATGACCACCATTTTGTGCAATCATCAAGTGGCTTCACGATGTAATGCTTTCATGTTTTTAAAAAAATTTTAATCTGTTTTTAACTTGTTCTTGTCATATTTTATATAATTTTGACCATTGTACCATCTATCCAGCTTTCACCATGTTACTGGACGTTTCCCTCATTCTATACGTAAACAACAATTAGCAACATCCTCACATACTACTGTAAGTTAAGTCAATCTAAATTCATTTTACACTACTGTTGCTACTGTTATCATTGTAATTGCAGCTCCTGATGATGATGGCAAAGTCCATTGAGAGCTAGAGAGAATTAAAAAAGTATAAAGAGTCCTCTTTGCTTAAATTTTGTCGAAGTACCCAACAAAAGGCGGAAGCTTTAATTTTTCACCTAACTGGTCTAGACGACAATGACCACGTCTCAAAATATATATATATATATATATATATTTATATCTACGGAGCGGGTAAAGATACTGAGTTAAGATTTCAGTCGTTCATCATAAGCAATAATCAGACAGGATTTCCCATCTTGAACTAAACCAAGGACTTAGAAACTGGGTACCTGGACCCTAGTTGTCAATATTTTCTGCGCCACTGGCCTTTTCAGAGAAAAAAGTTCAGCTGATAAAGTATCATTTAATATTCCATACATTTTGTCACTTAAGGAATTTTTGTCAGATCACTGGTTTTTGAGATATTTATTTTTGAATATTTGAGGTAAAATACTAAAATATCCTTATGAAAAGGTTTAGCCTCCCCTATTCTGAAAACACCGTGATGCTTGATATTGGAAACACTTTATAGCATGTGAATAAAGCTATGGCACCTCATTACAACACTAATTGAATAATATGCGTGTCTTATCCTCAGTCGGTAGCGTAGAAGCTTACCATTCATTAAACTTTTCCTGTGGTTTATAGATAAAGAAACTTCAAAATAAAGAAAACGTTCATTTCAAAAATGAATATTGCTAATAAGACAACAGTAAGCATTACATTTGATACAAGTTACGTGATTATTTTTAAAGTTATGACATAACATTGGGAACAAAAAATAATGCTGAATAAATGCTATAACATCCAACCTAAAGGAGTTGTTGAAAGTGGAGTAGTTTCATTTTTGTATGTACTTTCACCCTCTATACGAAAAAAATGCCAGGTAATCTTCAGTCACCACTGCCACCACGACAGTTAACCTACCTATACATCAGTATGCAGTACATATCGTCTTCATAGTTTTTTTATGAGAAGTCTCCACAAGAGTTGCATAATACAATTATTGTATGTTGAAGACAATGGTATTATTTCTCTTAATCAATCAGGATTTAGATAGCTGCACAGTACAACCTCTGCGCTACTGAATCTGTGCGATAATGTGATCCGAGCTATGGACAAAAAGATGCCGGTAACTCTAGTCTCAATAGATTACTCTAAAGCTTTCGATAAGATCGATCATCAACTCTTGCTTTCCAAATTACATTATATTGGACTTGATAATGTCAGTGTTCAGTTTTTTAAAAACTATCTTCAGCAGCGTACGCAGTGTGTCTCTCTGTGGGCAACAGGCGGTCTGGAGTCAGCGTAATACCATCGGGCGTCCCTCAGGGTTCCATACTAGGTCCAGTATTGTTTTTGATATACACTTTTGATTTGCACAAATCTGTCGCACATTCTGATATACAAACTTTTGCTGATGACACTCAACTTATACACTATTTTGACACCTCTTGTTCGCAAGATTGCTGTTCTATTAGAACAGGATCTGAACAAAGTGCAAAAATATTCGAGTGGCCACAATCTAACAATAAATCGAGATAAAACGCAAATATTACTATTTTGCTCAGAAGCAAGGAGAAGAAATTTGGAAATTTCATTCAAAGTGCATCTAAATGGTTCACTGTTAGAACTAACACATTCAGCTAAGATGTTAAAATAATCAGAATACCGCCTCACTCTATGATACTTTTCAAGCGTTGTTTTTCGTATAATGCTGCCATACTTTACAATGCTTTACCAGATAAATACAATGAAATGTCTCCTGCCAATTTCCGTAAACGAATAAAACAATTTGTCTTTACCCTTACCTGATATTGCTGCAGTATCTTTTCTTATGTATATATCTAAATATTATAGGTGTGTATGGGTGTATATATGTATATGTGTGTATGTATATATGTATGTGTATACATATGTATATAAATATGTGTATATACAGGGTGTCCGCAAAGTTGGGGTTTTCCTTTACACGACGTGTAGATCTTGAAAACATAAGCAATTTTTCTTAGTACCATATACACCAATGTCTTAAGGGAACCGAGATAAAGGGCTCTGCAACATCAAAAATATCTGAATACCGTCCTGTAGCCGCGACCCGCGATATCACCGACTGGTACAAGTGGGTCAGGGTCAGTGTGTCAGGTCAGTATGCAACCTCCAACCGACGGTTACGGTCACGCGTGTAGAGGTAAACGAACCCGTATAATCGATTGCGTTTCAAAAAACAACAAGCACTACAGTCGTGGCTAGAGAAGTGCAAGTATCAAAAACTAAAGTGTGGCAAACGCTGCGTGAAGAGGGGCTGTATCCGTTTCACGTCCAACGTGTACAAGCCCTTCAACCTGACGATTTTCCAGCAAGAGTGCGGTTTTGTGAGTGGTTGTTGCATCAACATGACAATAATCCGGACTTTTTGAAGTGCATATTGGTGACAGACGAATCTACGTTCACGCGTAATGGGGTGAATAACTTTCGCAACACTCATGTTTGGTCAGTAGAAAATCCACACGCTGTCCGTCGGGCACATTTTCAACAAACATTTTCGGTGAATGTTTGGGCTGGCATGGTGAACGGTATGCTCATTGGACCATTTATTCTCCCAAATCGATTGGACAGGATGCAATACCTAGACTTTTTACGCAACATTTTGCCTTCCTTGTTTGCCTGCGTCTGCTCGGCAGCGCATCAGCTGATTTCATTCTCTGTTGGAGGGGTATGATTTCGGGCAGAGACGTACTTAGCCCTTCTCGTCAACTGGAGAGTGAGTACTTTTTCCTTTATTTTTTTTACTTGGTCGCCCTCGTTTCACTACACATTACCTTTGTTATTTCAAGGGTAGTTGTTTCTGAAAAGGAAAACCCCAACTTTGCGGACACCCTGAATATGTATCCATGTACATACTGTATATGGTTGTGTATTTTAGTTTATTTGTGGTATAGTTTAGTTATAACTATAATTTTTGTTTATCTTAGGCAACGCACATGTCATCGTGCTCTAATTGTACTGACAAAGATAGTTAAGTGTAAGAGTAGCCTAGGCCAAACCTGGCTATCTTTATCCCTCACCTGTACAACAAATAAAGGCGTTATTATTATTATTATTATTATATATCAAGTTTTTTCCTGTTTCTTTTTTCTCGCAATGATAACATATCAATTCACCTCTAACAATGTCCATTTTCAGGGTATATGAACGAAAGGTGTGGCGACAGAGCTGGGTACTACTTCAGCTCAACTTGTGTTCTGGTAGGATCGCTAACTTTGTTCTTGATCGATTTGCATCGGAGGAAGATATCAAGACACAAACACACGAGAGAAAATGGCACGAAACATTTATGCGTTTCTGAGACATGCCCTCAAAGGTACAATCCCAGATCCTAATACGAGCGTTGTCTGAAAAATCGGATTCTCAACGTTGTGTCTTTCCTTGAAGCGGTAGTGCAAAAGTGGATTTCACGTCTGAAAATATGAGTAGAAAAAATGGCAACTATGCAGAAAAATAGCTTAAAGTGCAATGTTTTCCTTGTGCCTGAAGAAATGTGGGAACCTTATGTTTGAAACAACGCTCGTATATTAGTTTAAGCTAACTAGCTAATATTGGCGCCTATTTTAGAAAATATGTATCGACGGATTTTGCGCCAGAAAACGATGCTGGACATTTTTTTAAACCTTAAAATTTGAAACATGGCATCGTCTACAGAAATGTTAGAGGGAATCAAAAAACATTTTAGATGAGACATCATATTTTTCTATTTTTTTTTTTTATTATCAGACCGTTCACTTTATATACTAAGTGACATATAAATCCGAACACCCAGTTTAAATGGTTTTATTTTAAATAAAATTTTGTATAAGTACTTAATGAAGCATAATAAGTAAATGATAAAAATTTCAAAATGATTGCACTGCTTTAAAGCCCTTTGACCTTTAATAATGTGTGGATGCACCCTGATGTGCTACGCATTCTCCAACGCGCCTAGGCATGCTTCTGATCAGGTGGTCAATGTCCTCCTGTGGTATCTCATTCCAGGCAACCACCAACTCCTCTCGAAGTGCTTCTAGAGTCTGAGGAGGAGGTTGCAAATTGAGCAATCTCCTACCCATCATATCCCACACGTGCTCAATTGGGGATAAGTCGGGAGATCTTGGTGGCCATGGTAACAATGTGACATCATTATGTTGAAAGAAGTCTATTGTGACTCTTGCAACATGTGGTCGGGCATTATCTTGTTGGAAAGTTGGATCTGCCAGGGTGTCAAGATAGGGTAAAAGATGGGGTTCTAGAACTTCGTGGATATAACGCTGCGCGTTCATGTTACCTCTGATGAAGATTAAAGGTGACCTGGAACCATAAGCTATAGCACCCCAAACCATAACTCCAACAGTGTGATGAACTTGTCTTTCAACAAAAAACTGTGGATTCCTCCTTTCACCACGTCGCCTTCTAACCCTGGCACGACCATCGTGCATGCCTAAACAAAATCGAGACTCGTCACTAAAGACAATACTGTTCCATTTCTGATCCCAGAGTGACCGTTGTCTGCACCACTCAAGGCGATTACGTCGGTGTTCTCGAGTTAAAGGGAGGACCCAGCGTGGCCGGTATGAAAACAAGCCAAAACTTCTCATTCGTCGGTAAACACTTCGCATGCCAATAGGTCTTCCGTGTTCTGCAAACCATTCATTTGCAATGGACCTGGTAGTGGAGAAACGGTCCCTTAAGGCCAAAATCTTAGGCGGCGATGTTCACGGTCTGTTGTTCTACGGCGGCGTCGAGTGCCCCTTGCTCTTTGCGTACGGCCTTCTCGAAGCCATGCCTGACCACACCTAACCACAGTGTCTACACTTCTTTGCACTCTAACTGAAATTGCTCGAAAAGAAAGTCCAGCTTCCCGAAGTCCCACTATACGGTCCCTATCAAACTCACTAAGTTGACGAAATCGTACAGGTCTCCGTACTCTAGGCATCGTAACCGATCGTAAAGGATGTCAAGAACCAAAATCCGCCAACGTTGATTCTTTACTGCGGCTGAAATATTCATTTTTAGAGCGTTAGTGAATTAAAAAAAAGCAGTATAAAAACCGAAATGTCCAACTGATAAGGCTGAAAATTTTTTCACTTGTTATTTACAGTAAGATAAATACATTCACCAACTTTTATTAAAATAAAACCATTTAAACTGGGAGTTCGGATTTATATGTCACTTAGTATACATAAATATTTCAATTTTTTGAGAAAAAGTACAATTCGCGTTTACTACAATTTGTATTTTTGACCACCCGGTATGAGCAAAAATTAATATTAAAAAAAGTAACAAATAAGAAAGAGGCTGATGTGTGTAAGTTTTTTTTGATACAAAATTCAGCACTCCAAATATCAAAATGGCGGATTGACGGGTTGCCGAAGTAGACGGTTTGTTATATCAATGTTCTTCTTTTGAAATGGTTTATCCAAATATGCAATAAAATTTGAGGCATTCCATTTAAAAATTCACAACTTTGATATGTAGGTCAAAATTGGGATACCCTGTATAATTACCAATATTTTTGAAATGTGCCTTCAAATGACATGTATAACATGCCGTAAATAGATTTTCCCAAACTGTATTTATTTATGAGTAAAATTCCGTCCACACATGGATGGGCCATCCTGTATATTTATTTTGTAAAGTGCTCCGTAAATATTATTATTATTATTTATTATTATATTAACAAAAACACGCAGTTTGTAACACGCAATGATTACAAATGAATGTGAAGATTCTAACACTTCATGTTTTCAGAAGAAAGTTGTCGTTCTCACAAGAGCCAGAAAACAACGAAGGTGGTGTCACTCCAGGTGCAGCGGCAGCATTGGTTTTAGGTGCCGATCTTACCGGTAATCAAGGACCTGGCATCATAGACAACATTGTACTAAGCAACGATAAAGCTGAACTCACCTGTATATCAGAAGAAGGTAAGATAAAACAGCGCCTCCTCCCGAGCCGATATCCATTGTGTCAAATCATAGGACCAACTTTGCAACATATTTTGTCTGAGAAGTCAATTGGGCTTTATTCCAATACCCTCAAAATAAGATATCAAAGATTCATCAGAATTTTTTTTTCGTATGAGAAGAATGTTTCCTTTGTTTGTGGGTTAAAACAACAAACAACAAAATGGAGCGTTTAGATCAACTTCATTGGCATAGCAGTTTCAAATATTTAAATAAAAATAAAAATAGTGAAATCTCTTTTTGGAAGGACATCAACGGGACCGACTGAAAGTGTTCGTTCAAGAGAGGTGTCCTTATGAAAGAAATATGAAAACTCAATATATTAAAGCCACTGAGACTACTTCTTATTAAAACACAATTTTAGTACTTTGCATTATTTAACGTCAAAGTCAGAGCCTCCTTAGATGGAAAAAAATGCGTTACTTATTAATATATTTTCTGCCAAATAAATCATGGCCTCCTTAGAAAACAATTAATGCATAACATTACGTGTGATGATATTTCGATGATACTCCAATCTTTAGGCCCGTATCGCCAGTCGTCCCTACAATTGTAGGGCGCGTTTATGGCCTCCTTGATTGTCATAGTTTTCTACTTCTCCGTGTCAGAGCTCTATTTTGAGGTTATGTCACAAACATCTATTTGCATGGAATTGTGCTTGCTTTTGAGTTATATCATGTTCTATCAGCCTGAAATTTCCTACAATTTAAAAGGAAAACATATCTTAACAATAGGAAAGCGCTGACGCTGACACGGGACGAGTGTAATCTAGAAATTTTTGAAGGAGAGAAAAGAGTATGACAATCAAGGAGGCCATAAACGCACCCTACAATTGTAGGGACGACTGACGATACGGGCCTTAATGACATCACTAGGCTGCAAAATTTTAAGCTCTTTTCAAAAATCAAAAAATCCGATATAGCGGCCATAAGGAAAATGAAAGTTTAGGCAGGTTGCGAGAGAACAAAAGACGATTGAGACATGTGATACACGCTATCTTATTTGCCTTAAAAAAATGTCCGAATAATGTCACATGTTGACAGCTGTCAAATTAACCGTTTCGGATTTGCTGGCAAAAAACAAAATTCGACATTTTCGGTTTTTCACCGATAGTAAATCTGACGTCGGCTCTAAAACATTCCCCATTTAACCTTTGCTGTAGGTATAACAGGAGCCAAGATCCCTGTATAGACAAACGAATCTGGGACAAATTGTACCTGTATATGTAGTAACACAAAACAGTGAAATAAAAAGTCGCTTTAAGGGCCCAAAAATGCATATATTATCTTAAAATCGTACTTCTAATTAGGAAAAAGCTCCAAAGACTGTATCTCCATGATTTTCGACAAAACTTTTGAGCTGCTTGGTCAGGGTAATAGCTTTATTATAATTTGGAATAGCTTCTGTTGATACTGGAATCTCATCCACATCAGAATCTTCGGAAAGTTCTTGTATTTCAACTGGATTTTCAATTTATTTGCCTGACTGGATCTGCAACATACAAACTTTGATCTAGGTTCAAAAAAATCATAAAGGTTTTCATTATAAGTCAATTTCAGTAGATCCGTATTTTTGAGATTATCTGAAAGTACATTAAGTGGAAAGTCATCTTCTGGATCGGGTGTATCAGCGTCATTAAACTGGTTGCAGACGCAATTTTGCACTGTTTCTTTGGTTACTTGATTTCAATCGGTTTTTGGCAAATAAACTGCATCTAATGACGTAATATTCTTTAACAACTAAATAGCTGTATCAGCAGGTTTACTAGTAGGTCTCTGAGTATTATACTTCGGTAACAAGTTTTAAAACTCTTTATAATCCCTTGGTCAAGTGGTTGACAAGCTTCTTTATATACTAAGTGACATATAAATCCGAACACCCAGTTTAAATGGTTTTATTTTAATAAAATTTTGTAGAAGTACTTAATGAAGCATAATAAGTAAATGATAAAAATTTCAAAATGATTGCACTGCTTTAAAGCCCTTTGACCTTTAATAATGTGTGGATGCACCCTGATGTGCTACGCGTTCTCCAACCCTAGGCATGCTTCTGATCAGGTGGTCAATGTCCTCCTGTGGTATCTCATTCCAGGCAACCACCAACTCCTCTCGAAGTGATTCTAGAGTTTGAGGAGGACGTTGCAAATTGAGCAATCTCCTACCCATCATATCCCACACGTGCTCAATTGGGGATAAGTCGGGAGATCTTGGTGGCCATGGTAACAATGTTACATCACTATGTTGAAAGAAGTCTATTGTGACTCTTGCAACATGTAGTCGGGCATTATCTTGTTGGAAAGTTGGATCTGCCAGGGTGTCAAGATGGGGTTCTAGAACTTCGTGGATATAACGCTGCGCGTTCATGTTACCTCTGATGAAGATTAAAGGTGACCTGCAACCATAAACTATAGCACCCCAAACCATTACTCCAACAGTGTGATGAACATGTCTTTCAACAAAAAACTATGGATTCCTCCTTTCACCACGTCGCCTTCTAACCCTGGCACGACCATCGTGCATGCCTAAACAAAATCGAGACTCGTCACTAAAGACAATACTGTTCCATTCCTGATCCCAGAGTGACCGTTGTCTGCACCACTCAAGGCGATTACGTCGGTGTTCTCGAGTTAAAGGGAGGGCCCAGTGTGGCCGGTATGAAAACAAGCCAAAACTTCTCATTCGTCGGTAAACACTTCGCATGCCAATAGGTCTTCCGTGTTCTGCAAACCACTCATTTGCAATGGACCTGGTAGTGGAGAAACGGTCCCTTAAGGCCAATAATCTTAGGTGGCGATCTTCACGGTCTGTTGTTCTACGGCGGCGTCCAGAGCCCCTTGCTCTTTGCGTACGGCCTTCTCGAAGCCATGCCTGACAACACGTAACCACAGTATCTACACTTCTTTGCACTCTAACTGCAATTGCCCGAAAAGAAAGTCCAGCTTCCCGAAGGCCCCTATCAAACTCGCTAAGTTGACGAAATCGTACAGGTCTCCGTACTCTAGGCATCGTAACCGATCGTAAAGGATGTCAAGAACCAAAATCTGCCAACGTTGATTCTTTACTGCAGCTGAAATATTCATTTTTAGAGCGTTAGTGAATTAAAAAAAAGCACTATAAAAACCGGAATGTCCAACTGATAAGGCTGAAAATTGTTTCACTTGTTATTTACAGTAAGATAAATACATTCACCAACTTTTATTAAAATAAAACCATTTAAACTGGGTGTTCGGATTTATATGTCACTTAGTATATTTAATTATATCTGCAGTTCGTGTTTTCCCAATGTTAAAACGCTTGAATGAGTTCCTTATTGTGAACTTCAGTAATCTCAATTTTTTGTTTAAGGCTCAAAATTTTTCTATTTGGAGCCATTTGTTCAATGAATGTGCCACCGACTGTGTCTTTTTCATTTTGTTTTTTGTCCGGTTAGGAGAGAATGTCCGTCCAAGAAAGAGTTAATACAATGCAGATTATATGAGAGTCGGTCGGTACCATGAGAAACTGTCCGTTTAAAGAAGGTGTCTTTATAAGAGGGGTGTCCGCGAAGGGGAGTGTCACTGTAAAAACATTCCTCTGAGATTAATATCTGCTTACGGTATCATGTTAACGTGAATGAACGATAGGAAATACAAAAAGTATGCATATTACCTTTACCAGGTACTAGCAGAGAATACTACTTCACTTTTTTCTAATAAGCTTGATAGATCCATGGATTACTCCGCAATCCTCCTTTACAGGTATAGCCGACATGGACCTCCCGGACAACATCCTCGACGACCTGGACTACATCGGAGACTGCATCACCTCATGCAACAAAGTGGAAAACTACCTGATGCTGAGCGAATTCGAGAACAACCTGATCGCTGAGTTGCCCATCATCCTGGATCGTAAAGGCAGGAGGTGGTCGCTGGCAAGAAGCCGATTGCCCTCAGCAGGACCTCAACCGGATGAGGATAACAGCGGGAATGGCGGAACGGGTGAAAACAACGGGGGCGGGGAAAGGTGGAAGCAGGTTCTCAATAATCGGGTGATCACAGTCATTGATGAGTCGTCTGTATAAGACTTACATCAATACAGGCAATTACATACAGGGTGGCCCAACGAAAAAGTCGCACCGCCATAGCGTTACACTTTAGATTTTTAAATGGAAAACCCCATGTTTTTTTAATTTTTAGATTCTACAAGTTTTTAGTAACTTTTGTATAGTAAAATTTATACATATCTTCAATCGATGTGAAGCTATTCGCGCTTATAATAAAATTCTAGAAATTTAATGATAATAAAGGATTATATCGTGAAAATAATAATCAATGTAGTTCCCGTAGTAACAATAATGGAATCTGGCTTCGTACTAAAAACTTTAATTTTCAAATGCCCCAAAGAAAGTAATCTAAAGGACTAAATCTAAAATTAGAAAAATGGCGGTTTCCATTTAAAAATCTAAAGTGTGCCGCAATATCTTATTTTTCGATTAATTTGTATCGTACGGCATAAATAAATAATAAAAATATTCCGGGAGAGTCACAAATGGGGATGCGACCTTTTTGTTGGGCCACCCTGTACGACTTTAACAGACTGATATGGGTTATTTCCAACAAAGGATTTCATAGACTGTCGAATAATCATCAAATCAAATTAATGATACGATGTTGCCTAGCTACGCGCTGAACTGATCTGTTCAACTATAGATTACTTTTCAGAACTGTAAGAAATTAATTGTTGAATAGAACCGCTACAGCTGTGTTGTAAAGGGAGTGGGCTGGCACAAACTGCTTGCTTGTAATTACCTGATACTTTTCTACTTTAGTATGAGTAGGTACCTGGCAAGTACATTATCCAACCACTGCGTGCGTTCTCCCAAAAGCATTAAAAGTGGAAAATAAAGTTAAATACACATACAGTAATTTTGAATTGAAAGTGAAATCTAAATTTCTTATAGAGTTGGTTCTTTTGTAACTTGATATGGAATAATTTTTTTCCAATACATATCTTGGCCAAAAGTCAAAAAAGATAAGATTTCAGAAATGGTGTAAAGGTGTAAACAAACATAGAGACTAATTTAATTATCAACAACTCTAGTTTCCCTAACTTTTAATAGAATCAATTCTTTTATGGTCGTTCTTACAATTGTAGAACGCCTTTATGGCCTTGATTTTCATAGTTTTCTACTGTTCCGTGTCAGCGCTCTATTTTGAGGTTATGTTACAAATATCTGTTTGCGTCAAATTTTTCATGCTTTTGCATCTGTTATATAGCCTGAAATTTCCTACAATTCAAAAAGAAAACATAGCCTCACAATAGGCGATCGCTGAGGCTGACACGGAACAGTAGAAATCTAACAATATTCCAGCCTTCCTGAAAGAGAGAAAATACTATGAAAATCAAGGAGGCCAAAAAGAAATGACTGGCGATACGGCCCTAAGACGATTTGCGTTTTCCAAAATGGCAGTTATCTGCACATTGGTTCTGTCATAAGAAAGTTAAGCCCTAAACTTGCTCACACAATAAGAAGGGAAAAAATGTTCGAAATAAAGTCAAAAAGAGACAGTGTGCCAAACATTCTTTAGTGACATTTTCAATCAATATGAGTGCACCTTGAAAGCTTGAGGTCCATAAGGGGGTTTTTCGACCCTCAAAATGACTGAAATTCGTATGAAATTTTTTCATTTAAATATTTCAGAGCATATGTGTTTTAAGCTTTCATCAATATTTGTCTTTTTATTTTAGTTCTTGGTTGTTCTATGAAAGCACAAGTGTGCAGTTTTGGCATTTTTGACAATTTTCGGATATTCAACTATTTCTATATTTGCACCTGCTGGCAACATTTCCTACTTCAAATCTATAAAACACACAGACAGAAACATAAAAATGTATTGTTACTCTACAAGTAAAAACAAAAAAGGTGACACAAAATTATGAGAATTCAACTTTTGTTTTTATTCTGAACTTACAAAATTGCGTCACTACGGATTTGAGGAATCTGTATTCAAAATTCGACAAAACTATTTAATTGACAAAAGACAAAAAACCAACATTGGATCTACATTAGCAAGATCAAAAAATATTTCTGTTGGTAGTATACCACAAGGTAGTAAACTAGGTCCACTACTATTTATTTTATACATTAATGACATTTGTAATATTTTAGATTATTGTAAACTTCAGATATTTGCAGATGATACATAATTATACATATCAGATGAAAATATAGACACTGCTTTAAAAATGCTAAATTCTCACTTGGCAAAAATCGTAAATTGGTTAAATGTAAATAAACTAAAATTGAACACTTCTAAAACAAAATCTACGCTAATAGGGAAATACCTAAATGAAAATACTAACACAGGATAAAAGGAGAAATAATCGCATTTACTATATTGTTCAACTATCTTGTTCATTGCCAATAAAGCTGTATTTTCAAAATTAGTCTTGCAAAATAAAGCTATGAGAATAATATTGAATAAAAATTAGTACAATAAAACAAAATCTATGTTACAAGAATTGCAGTGATTGAAAGTTTCATATCATGCTTGGTTCGTACTTTTATATTTAAAATAAAAAATCATCTTTTGCCAGAACATTTAGAACACTACGAGTACATAGAATTGAATAATCATTACCGCAATTATTATACAAGAGGAAATATAGATTTTTATTTACAAAATTGCAATAGTAATATAACTAGCAAATCGTTATAGTATCAGAACCACCCCACACACTTCTGCATTATTCAAACGAGGATTTACATATAATGCAGCACTATTTTATAATCAGTTGGACAACAGTATTAAATTGATGTCTTTGGAAAGTTTTCGTAATCATACTAAAAGCATGTTGCTCGCTATTGATTAAATAAGCATTTCTGCTACAGATATAGATTGTGTCTATTTGTATTTTATACTTAGGTATATAAGTGTTCTTTTTTTCATTGTTCTTATATTTTTTTCCATGTTTTGAAAATCAGATGTAACCGACATAAACAGTTAAGTGTAAGAGTAGCCTTGGCTAAACTTCGCTGTTTATGTCCCTCCGGGTTATCCAATAAAGACGTTATTATTATCATTACTAAATCAATATTTCAGAAAGGATTACTTGAATTTAATAAACTAAATAATGGTATAAAGTCTACTTGTAATTTAAAGATATTTAAAAGAATATTAAAGGAATATTTCATGGAAAATAAAAATTCTTAGAGTTCCATTTTTTGTCTAAATATGTGTGTTATGTAATTGTTTAGTTTTTTAGAAGAATGTAATTTTAGCATTCATGCTAAATAAATCTTAAGCAACAACAACAGATTGCCACAACACTTTCACTTTTATATATGTTTTGTGTCTCAGTGTGTTTTATTATACACTGGAAACCAAATGTCAATGTGTACGATACGTATGTTAGAAAGAGATAGAAGCCGTCTGGATAGCGAAGCTCATCATCGCGTTGCCTAGCAACGCTGACGCGGCAATCTGCCGCGGTGCCAATTCCTTGAATTAAGATGTATATTGAAAATATGCGTTAGTTTATTCTCTATGCCCAAACATTGCTTTTATTTTGAGCGTACACATTTTTGATTTGTGAATTGTGTCGAATCTGTTTAGGATTGATTCCCGATCGATCCTAACCGTGCTTCAGTTTAGGTCGCAATGAAAGGTCAGGATCGCCACAATTTCTGCAACATTGCATCTTCGGTTCGCTTGGCAACACCGCATCTCGTACATTTGAAGCCAAGGTTTCCAGATCCACGATCATAGCGATTTTGGTCAGCACCCATTTAGCGCTTGCAGGGTCATGTTGTCCTACTTCAAGTTGGCTTTCACCTGCGTAGATGTAGACAGTGATAATTTGTATTGCGCAACGTTATTCGACCGCAGCGCTGTCGCAAAATGTAACAATGAAAACAAAATATGAAATTAAATGAACAGAACTCCTTGGGTTTGACAGTAACCTGACCTATTTATGTACATGCAATGCAAAATGAGTTACATACCAACCTGAAAATAAATATATCGATTTGATGTTCAAGTGAGTAACAACGAAAAAGAAAAAAAGCATATTCAATTGACAAATCCACGCTATGTTGGCTTACCGAAATGAAACCAGATGAGACTAATTATGAGGAGGAAAATACAAAGAAAAACAAAAAGAAAAGATCATAACAGCAAATCACAACAGATCTTTAACCAGCTTTATCCGAGTTGGCAGCCTGTGCGAACATTTTCTGGTGTAACATATTTTCAACGCGACCTTCTGTGTCACCGTTGCTAGGCAATGTGGTGATGACCTTCGCTCTTCCGCCGGCTTCTGTCTCTTTCTAATATGTGTTGATACACACTTCTCGCGTATCTCTCTCGGACAGATTGAACTCGAGCCGTCGGACCTTAGTTTTCCCTGTAGATTTGAAACTGGAAGTGAAAAATGCCAAAATTGTGAAAAATTAGCAAAGAAAAATCAAGCACTCAAATAAAAAGAAATATCTTACGTATAAATGCTAAAACTTCATAAATGCTGAAGAGCTAATCTTTGAGGTATTTCTGAAGCCGAAAAGACCCCTTTTGCACCTTAATCCATTTGTCTTTGAACACAGCAACCCGTATCAGGTGAAAGTAAGAGATTATATAGGTATTACAGGAAACTATGAAAGAAATGTAACATATAACTCGATTTGTATAATTCTTACAATTTGATACATTGAATTATAGATAAACGTTATCAGCATATGCAATTTAATCCAAATGTTGAATTAACTGCCTATTTATTATAAATGAATTATGGATAAAAAATGCGATTACACACGAAGCATGATATGGAATTTTGTTTTTCATGTAACATTGATCGCGTACACCAGAACATACATATAGTCAAAATCACTAAAGATGACGATTACGTCATCATTTTAGTCTGTAGCAAAGACAAACGACAGCGATTCGTGAATATTTTTAATGAAGTTTGCTAATTTGCATGTATCCGACAAAGATAGATGATGTGTTCATGTTGCATGATCGATCACATTTGAAAGATAGGTTATGTTAAAGCAGGTTAGGTTGTTTTCGAATAATACCCTTGGTCTTTGGTGTTAATGTCTTAAGACGTATTATACTCATAACTGTTTTTTGAAAACAAAAACTCTCCACTAAAATTATTATTAAGGTATCACTTAAAACCATGAAATAAAATGAAAATAAAAATAATCAGTGAAATAACCTAACTCGATATACACTGATATTAATTAATCTTTGTGCTCTCACACCTGACAACATCGTACTCGTGTTGCATGTGGTGTATTGCCAGTGTTGCCGAAGCTACCGATTTTCCGGTTTTTCTACCGAAATACCTAAAAAATCATTTTCCACGGTTTTTTTTAAATCTTTCAGATATGTTCAGGTTTTCCACTGAAAAAGAGCTTGAACAAAAAGTGAAGCGCAAAAATGAATTCT